GTAGGTAATAATAATAATAATAATAATAATAATAATAATAATAATAATAATAATAATAATAATAAAAATAATAGTAATAACAATAATAATAATAATAATAATATAAATAATAGTAATAATAATACAAATAATGACAACAGAACATAGGGATTTGCCTCATTGTCATAATGAGAAATAAGTTTGAAAATGCCAAAAAAAAGTACTAAGTACATCTAAAGAAAAATTATGAAGTAAAGAAGCTGTCTCTTATACACATCTAGATGTGTATAAGAAGGCTGTATGTGTGTGTGTATTTAACGCTCATATATATTATCATAAAAAAATGTATTTATTAATAAAATAGGCTTACCGAATCACACAATTTAAAAACTATGTCTATATATTCGCTTGATGTTGAATTTAATAGTGCTTCAGTGAAATCGTATGGCATACCGTCTATTTTATTGAATCCCATCTCAATCAAGAATGTTCTATACGCTACAGAATATAATAAAAAAAAATCATGATCCTAATTTACAAAGTTGACTAATATACAATATAAATAACAATCAAACCATGAAATTGACAAAACAATATCGGAAAAATATAAATTTGTGATAATTATAGTTGCTTTGATAGGTTTTGTAATTTCCAACAAAGCACAAGGGTTAATGTGAATGTAGACAAAAGAATGTCCAGCATTCGTATCTTGGTTGAGACAATTTTTTTCTGCCCTCACGAATTCCTTTTCTGTGTTTGAGTCCTAGGGAGGGGATATTTTTAGTTGCGACAAACAGTGATAATAATAAATATCAATAAAGGGACATAAGGTAATTTAATAATAATTAAAAAAAAACAACAAAACATACAATTGTATTGATGAATTATATCTTGTGTAAACAATGTGTAGTTACCTTCAATTGAAACGGTAAAAGAGCAACTTCCTAAATTCCCAGAACCGTCAGTTGCATTATAATTTACTTCTGTTATACCGACAGGAAAAGAATCGTTGCTTTTGTATTTGGATGTAATTGTAGGTGGTATTTGTGAATTATCAGTTGCGTTCACTTGGTCCCAGGTTACAAACAATCTTGGAACTCCAACAGCACTTTGCATAAAGATATTACTAGGACAGTTGATATCTGGAGGTTCCTGGTCTGTGACAAACAATATTATTATTATTATTATTTATTATTATTATTATTATTAATTATTATTATTATTATTATTATTATTATTATTAATATATATATATATATATATATATATATATATGAAATATCTCAATTTTTTTGGGTGTGTGTGTGTGTGTGTGTGTACAAGAAACGAGAAAATGACTTCTTGGAACATGTATTTATTAGCAACCAACATGTCGAGAGATACCGCTCTCTTTTTCTGGGTTGACAAATGTGTCACTATGTAAATAACAACTCTTTTATATACACTAGATAATCATGCAGATCACTGACACATGTGAGATCAAATGATTGGGGAAAACAAAAGAACTGGGGGAAAACGGAAAGTAGTTGATACTAGATACTCCTTGTCATTGTCATATGAACTGCTTAACTATTACTTCTATTTCTTTCTATTTTCTCATTGCTTTGTCTTGTCAAATTTTAATTAGTTATTACAATTATTTTATAGTGGGGGGGGGGGGGCTATAGCTTAAAGTTTCTGAGTAACTTATTTAGTCTTCTCCAATGTATATGATTTATTGGAAATAATAATATTAAAAAAACAAGCAAATCTTAGCTAAAGGAACATTGTGGCCAAGTTTTACCAATTGTTGATTATTATTATGGGATGTAGGTTGTTCGCCACAAATTTTCCGACAGACAAATAAATAAATAAATAAATAAACAGGGGAAAACATAGCCTCCTGCCAAGGTAATGAGATCTTTGGTCATGGATCATTGTGACCAAGTTTGACATTTTTCGTGATTAAAACTATGGGCTCTAGACAAATAAATAAAAAAAAGTTTTTTGTTGATTGTGACCTTGACCTTTGCCCCGACCCTTCAAAATGTAATCATCTCTAGATCTCAGGTAGAGGACCATTGTGGCCAAGTTTGATGAATTTCTGATAAAAACTATGGGTTGCAGGCTGTTCAACAATTATGCCGACAGACATAAATAACTAAATAAATTAACAGGCAAAAACATAACCTCCTGCCAACTTCGTGGCGGAGGTAATAATAATAATAATAATAATAATAATAATAATAATAATAATAATAATAATAATAAAAATAATAGTAATAACAATAATAATAATAATAATATAAATAATAGTAATAATAATACAAATAATGACAACAGAACATAGGGATTTGCCTCATTGTCATAATGAGAAATAAGTTTGAAAATGCCAAAAAAAAGTACTAAGTACATCTAAAGAAAAATTATGAAGTAAAGAAGATTAATGACAACCCACTTCACGAATAACAAGGCCTTAGTGAAACTCGAACTATTGCTGCAATGGTATTAGCAAGAGTAAAATGAAGACATTTATTTATATTAATAACATTTAAATGAGTTTACTTCATTTTTATTTGAGGAAATAATGTATGAATGTAGAATGTGGTCTATGTTTAAAAGTTGAGTATTTATTTTGTGTTATATAAAGTAAAAGGCGTGTATTCGTCATATTTAATTTAAATAAATTGAGCATTTATATTATATAAATTCAATAAACAATAATGTTGGTTTTCTTTAGTAGTAGTTGTAATAGTATATGATTTTACAGTATACTAGTTGAAATTAGTTAAAATATCATTTTAGTAAATCAGGTCAAACATAGATTTTTTTAATGTAAATGTTAATGTGATAAAGTTGGTAGAGAATATAAAAGAAAAAATTAAAATGTTTTATATTTGTTTTTATTGACTAGTACATTACCTACAATTTTGATTATCAGATATATTTAAAAAAATCAAAATAGAGCCTAATAAGTTAAGAAGGCTTCTAAGTCGACGATGGATGAATGATGAAATTATTTTATTAGTTTTGTTTTATCCTATTTGGACATAAACTGGATTTTAACCCATAAATTCCTAGTGAAAATCACTATCTTATTTTCATTAGACCTGAATGCATGTATTTAAACTATAAACTAGATATAATGCCTAACATTAGCCTTTATTCATGCTTCGTTAGCTTTTGTTTTAATTTGGAAAAGTGAATTATGTCCATTTAGACTGGTTTATAGAAAAACAATTATCATAAAAGTATTTTAGTATGTTTTTCTGTTGTGTAGTTAGTACATTTTACACAAACAAATCAATTAAATTCATTTCCATAACTTCCATTACTCCTGGCATTCTTTCTGGTTCCTTTGAGAAACTGTACTTGCATAGGACTTCAAAATACACATCTACACAATGATTTCAGCTCATTACTTTAACTTGCATGTTAATATGTGCCTACACAAAGCTCTTTATTGTAGAACAAGAATATTTTATATTCGAATTTTATTGATAGCAATAAAGATATGGTTTTCTGATGTTTTAATTAAATTTATGTAAATTCTGTTTGATAAATATGTTTTATCTCCATTTAAATTAAAATTCATTTCCATAACTTCCATTACTCCTGGCATTCTTTCTGGTTCCTTTGAGAAACTGTACTTGCATAGGACTTCAAAATACACATCTACACAATGATTTCAGCTCATTACTTTAACTTGCATGTTAATATGTGCCTACACAAAGCTCTTTATTGTAGAACAAGAATATTTTATATTCGAATTTTATTGATAGCAATAAAGATATGGTTTTCTGATGTTTTAATTAAATTTATGTAAATTCTGTTTGATAAATATGTTTTATCTCCATTTATATTATGACCGCATGCCATTAGGGAATTTATTTTTATTTTCTGTCAGTGTCTTCTCAATAATAGTACCATATTTGTGTGGACTCCACTATTATGAGCACACTTTTTTTTTGGGGGGGGGGCACGATGTGTTGCCTTAATGGGGTTATTATTGTATAACCATTTTGGAATTAAACCAAACAGTTTTTCAACATATACTACCTTATACTTTAATTATTGAGGTACTACAATTTCTATATTAAGTCCTTACCGTATATGGTGACTATAACAGTACACATTCCTTGGTTTGTAGAAGAATCAATTGCATTATATGTAACCAGAGTGCTACCAATACCAAATGTAGCATTGACTGGAAAATCTGAGGTAATGTCAAGTTCTTCTCCAGAATTATCCTCAACTGTAACGTTGAATTCTTCTATAGTTCTTGTTGCCTTTCCCGTTTGTGTGTTTGTAGAATAGCTGAGTGGGCATGTTAGAACTGGACCCTCAATATCTTATATAAAAAATGAAATAATTATACTTTTAATACATATTATGTTATTCTTTCATTTTTATGTTTAAATACAATAGACCACGATTTAAAATTATTGTAGGCCTATGTAAAATAGCCTATATAATGTATGGAGGTATAATAACCAAGGGAGTTGTTTAAAGATATACCTTCTATCATGGAAAGCCTTAACAAATCTATCAAAACGAGTTTTACTATGTTTGTAAAATAGAATATAAAGATTTTCTTCATTGCCATAATGAGAAGTGATGTTTAACTTACACAAAAATAACAAAAAAAAAGTCTAGAGGAAAATAACACGAAAAAAAAAAAGAAATGATACAGAAAATTATGTTATAACTTACGTGTTAAGTTAAAATACATAAACACCAATACGACGTCAATGAAACTCGAACTATGACTGATATTAATATCTTTGATATGGTTTTTGCTTGGACAATGTTTAAAGAAGATTCATGCACGGAAAGTGACCTAAGTCACAAAGTGCAAAAAAAAACGCAAGTAAACATGTAGAAGAAGGGATAAATTGAACAAAAACAACGGATATTTTTAGATAACGTCAGAAGCCAATAAAACAAAAAATCAAGAAAAAATAGCAGAAACTAACTCGACGTTAGTAAGAAGGTAATATGTATCACACATGAATGTGGATAGTCACCAAATTTAAATAATTTATTCTATGTAACTTGGTTAAAATTTCCAAAAAGTTTATTCAGATCAGGTGGCCAGTTTTTGGTATATCTCCACCAGGATGTTTCACATTGAATGGTCCTCATATCCACACCGCAGACCATGCAAAAATTATTTTGAAATGATGCCTTTAGATCCATTGATAACTTCATAGAGCTATTCATATCTGGTGCATTTTAAATTACCCTCTGTTGCACACCCGAACCCGGTTCGTCCATAAATTTAATTATTCCTATACCAAAAGTGTCATTTAGATCACTTGATTCGTTTTTTTAATGCTCCTCATATCCACATCCTATTCTGGATTGTTACCACAATTTAATCTTTTCTATTTTCTATATAGAAAGTTTCATGTAGACCAATTGGCATGTTGGGGACATTATGGTGTGAAGGTCATTAAATAAAATGACCCTCACATTTACACCTTAAAGTGGATTGTCACCAAAACATTATGGTTTTTCACATGTAACTTAGTTAAAATTTTCATTCAGATTGGGTGATATTTTTTAAAAATATGTTTGCCTTTAGATCGATTTAATTGGTTCTCACATCCACACCCGTCTCCCAATTGTTATATTCCACGAGGTGGCACATCTTTAGTATACGGTCTATTTTTGGTCAGAAAAACAAATCAGAATAAAAACTATAGATCAATGAATAGAGAGTTTTCTTTTTATAAAAAACGTCACAGAGGTTATTTACCAACCTTGTTCACAAGCAGTACCACCATACCCGGTTCCAGTACAGTTACAGGTTGCAATATTATTTATTATGTAACACTGACCATTTACACATGGCTCTAGAAGGCACGGATTATCTAAAAACAACCAATACAATGCGATTCATTTCGTTTACTTATTTTTCACCAAATTAGCTCATAAAAAGTCATCACTTCCATTATTTGTAAACTGTAAACAATTCTCAACAAGAAAGCAAAGCTGTCAACATTGGTTCTTTAAAAGCTTTTAACAATATTGCTAGCAAGTAGTTGTTCACATTTTAATCGTATGACTCTCTTGTAAACAAACACACTATGTACATGCATCCAGGTACACACCCCAACCCACCCCCCACACACCGTCTAATATATTTTAAGTCACTGCTACAAATTTTTGAAAACAAATTAATATGGTTTATTACCAAAGTACACTATTA